CCCCAAAACCCCAAAACCCCAAAACCCCATGATTATAAAATTGAGTGTAATAGCAATATTCTTGATGAAATTAAGTTTGAGAGATTAAAGTTATAGTTCATGATATTTATTTGGATGGAACGATAAAAGTATCCAAGTAATTAGCTTTCTTTACATCAGATTTTATTGACTATAGTATATTTAATGCATTTCTCTTGGGCATTGCTGTTTGCATGTCTTAAGTCACATACTCCAAAACTTTTTGAAGATTCTTATCAACCATTACATTTGAAGGCTTCTAACCATATTAAGAAATTTATCTCTGATAAAACCTTTCTCTTAAAGCCCTTGTTTTATTTACTATATTGCCTTCACTATCATAGACTTTTGAGTTTTAACTTTAATCAAAATTACTCAAGTCAGCGTTTATAGTTCTACTAAGTGATTTATGGTTTTTATGTTAATTTTAAACTATTTACTTATAGATTAGATTTTTTCCAGATCTTAATTATTCTTGTTACTTTGTCTTAGTCTCTCTATTTTCAATCTCAGACTTTAACCCTTTTTAATGATTTCTAATATTTCCTCCTGCTCTCTATGTGAGCATAATCAAATCGCCAACTTTCTTTTCGATGGGTTAGCTATCATTGTAAATCTTGTATAATTTTGGCTTTTTTGATGGTCCAGGATCTAGGTTAAGAATCCTAATAACATCAGTATTGTTTTTGCTGTTAGTTTAGCTCTTCTGTCTTTTCTTTGAATCAGTAGTCTTGAAAAGTTGATTAGCATACTTTTCTAGTCTTCCTCTCATCTCCTCATCTTTAACTCTTTAAAGCGCATTATTTAAAGAATCCTGACTCTTTTCTAAATCTTAATACCTGCCTTGCAACTACTTTTCTTTTTACTCCTTGATGTTTTTGAAAAGCATCCTAATCTGATTTTCCTTGATCGCAGATTCATTCTTTACCCTGCTATTCCTGTAGTTTTGACCATTTAGGCCTTTCATTGAGTATTACTTGAATATACTGCTTCTTTTTGCTAATAGTTAGCTCTAATCAATCGACTTTCTACTACTGCTCAGAGCTTTAAGATATTAAGAATTGCTATTTTATCTGATTCTCAATGTTTCCTACAGCATTTCCTCTTTATCAGCTATATCTTCAGGATTAGTAGATAATCTATGAGATTAAGGGATTATTCCTCTGTTATAAAATATCTATGTCTGCATGAAATCTTGATCTACCTTCAGTTTTTCTCTATCAATATATTTCAATTGATTTTACAGTAAACTTAAGTCCTCCCTAGCAGATTGCAAAGTGGCTTGTCTGCTTTGACTAATTTCTTCCAGATCTTAATATTAGATGAAGGTTTTTGGATTTTAGAGTCGATCAATTAGCAATTTTAAATTGACTGGACTTGTTCTTCTTTTATAATCTAAATAGGTAGCTGTGCCCTTATAGAGACTTTCCATATTTGGTGGCTGATTTCTATCAGCCATTGCAGTACCTGGCCTTGCACTTTCTGCTCTGCTTCCACTTCTTGATAATCTTTAGCTATTTTAAAAGGTATATGTTGACTTCTTGCGATCAATTATTTGAGATCTCTTATTAGATGTATTATCAGTAGTTTGCTGGTTGTCTCTATCTTAATGATACATTCCATGCACTGATCTATGCATACTGTGGTATATTTCATCACTTAATTCATGAGCATTCTTACCCAGTGTATTGATATCCTCATCTCACGTATAACCTTTCTTTTATCTCTCAGCTTATTTTTTCCTCATCCATTCTACATATTGAACACTCTGTTTATCAATTTTTTTCAAAAGTTTCTTTATATTTTAATCACTTTTCTTAATAACCTGCTAATCTAGTTTAGAAATGGATGTTTCTTGTTTGAAAAAAGGTGCCACATCTAAATCATCAAATTATTCCTCATTTTTATAAACGGAGACCATTATATTAAAAAAGTTATTTTTTAGATTAAAATCGGTACTCACTGTTTTATTGTTAATAAATTTTGGCTTGATAATGACCTTTTTATTTTGATAATATAGTTTAATTATTTTTTTATAAATAGTTAAATTGCTTTAGAAATTAGAGTCTACATAATGCATCAAATAGCATTAAAGGTACGATAACAGTAAGAGAATAAACCAGCTATGACCCAGGATTAAATCAGAAGTTAGATATTGAAAGAAAGAGCAATGAAAGATTAAACTAATAAAGAAAATAAATAAAAAGAGATTATTGGCAATAAATCTGAGTATGAGAGGAAAAATCCACAATAATTAAGTTAACTACATGCTAAGGGAAATCAAGTAGAAGTTAAAATGAGTGATCTTTAAGATTTATTCAATGATGAAGCCTAAAAAGAATAACTAGATTAGAAGAATATTTAATCTAACATCAAGAAAAATCACAATAAATGGACTGTGAATGTGTAAACTACTTATCATGACGGAAAACTAGATGTTTTTCCTGTGTATAGAACTGTTAGCTGCTCCAACGCTAAGGATTTTAGGGAGAATGACTATCATCCACATTTTTCTCACCTAAATAATAAGCTTTATGTCCAAGATGCAAAGGCTATTATTGATTTCTTAACAAAATCTGAAGATCAATAGAAAAATACTAGATAATTTAAGAAGAAAAAATTTAATCTAGTTTGATTTATATGATTGTTAATTAAATTTCAAATTTTAGGTATGGGGTTTTGGGGTTTTGGGGTTTTGGGG